ACGCTCCCGGTGTTTCAGAAGCACTGACTTCCTGTTAAACATTAGATGAGGCATACCATCACTCCGAAACAATGATGTAGAAAATATTGACGAATGAAATCCAGTCAATGAGTTGGTGTAAAAGCTGATTGCGCAAATGCTGTTAATAATCACAAATGTTTGTTTTTCTTTTTCACAAGACTAAATCTAATATTTTATGTTCTATGTTTTAAGCTGCAGGCATTATTACATCATTATTTTGTTGAAATAACTAGTTTCTGTTTTTCTGAGCTAACGAGAAGTGGACTTTCTAGAGACACGTGGCTCTAAAAGGACAGCGATGCTACTTTTACAAGAGGTTCTCAAAGATGATGCATTGGTATGGTAACGGTTTAATTGTCAATAACAGCTTTTAAAGAAGTAAAAATCAGCTCAACTCTGAACCTTTACAGCATTCTAATCATTTAAATCCAACAACTGTGAATTTAATATTACTGCAACACAAACGTTTACCTTTTTACTGCATGTATGATACTTTTAATGTCTTCTGTGTTAGTAACTTCATAGTTTTGCTCAAAGGTATAATTATTATATGTATTGTATGTTGTACTTTAGCACCAGTCTCTCAGACTAAAACAAAACTCCCTCAGCGCTCCGCATCCTCCCCGCCTCTCCCTCAGTGTTTTAACCGCATGCAGCTGTTTCTACGACTGATTTCCATTTATACATGCAGCTCAAAGTTGATTTGGTTCTGTTTTCTTAGTATTTAGTAGTACTAGTATTTTAGACCAGAGTCATGTCTTCAGTTTGGACAGTGCGTTGGTTCTCCTTATTGTACTTTTGGGACAAACTCTGCCATTCTACGGACAACATCCCTGCAGGGTGACAGAGCTGATGAACGGTTGGACAGGGAGGGCTTCAGAAGAAAAAACAAACATGTATGAAACTTTTTTTTTTTTTGCATCTGACTGACACATAAAGAAGCTAAAGAAAGTCCTGTCAGTGTTAACACAGAGCAGAGCACAACGAGCCCAAAGGGAGTTAAAAAGTCTCTCTTTTTTAAGAAATTCATCACTCAATGATATTTGTAGTTTGGATATATTTCATTTCTGCTGTATTATAACTTTATAGTTTCTGTAAGATACTTTTGGTCTGTGTTGATTTTGAAGCATCCTGGAGACAAAGTGGTACATCTGATGTATGTTTTTCTTAAGTGTTTTTTTTATTTTACAAAAGTCAAGTCTCAGCATCCTTATTTCTTACCTGTCCATTGGTAACCAACACTGATGTCTTATCTTTCCAGTGGTAAATATAAAAAATGGGCTGTTTCAGCAGCGAGGAGTGAGTCCTTCATCTGACAGTGACCCTGCAGCAGCAGCTTCAGGCAGTAAAAATAGCTACATAGAAAAAACAGTCTTGTCAATTATTGTTTCATTTGCCTAAGTAGGGCACATAGAGATGCCAGTATTCATTTCAGTCTGTTTTCTGATCAGCTAAAAACTCCTCACTTGAGCTTTAATTAAGGTATTAAATTCAGGACTTGGAGACGTTTACAGTTTTGTATACTTTATCTGGAGTTAAGGATCTGAATACTGTCGATTTTTCACAACAAAATCTTGGACAGAATCTGTGTTCATGTTTCCCCCTGATTGTTCTGATTCACATTCAAACCTGAAGAAAAGGTGAAGGGTCTATAATGAAAGTTGTGAATATTATTAAAAAGGGTAGGGGTCTAAACGGACAGCTCCCACAGCAATTAACCTGCTGTTGCTTTCCTTTCTCACTAAGAAGCAGTGTCGACTGCATCTGGCGGCCTCGGACACTAACTGTATGAGGCAGGAAGGAAAATCAGCTGGAACCATTAAAGCCATCAGGCTCTGTTGTTTTTAGCTCTGCTGGAGCAGAGTAATGACTCTGTGCTTGATAATGTTTATTTCATGCCGGAGTTGGAGGATCATTTAGCTGCTGATTCAACACCACCATTACATACAGACTAACTGGGGGTTAGTCAGTTTAGATCAGAGAGTGTTTCGATGAGACTTCACTGATGGAAGAAACGACAGCATTTTAAAATCTGTGGCTGACCACAAACTAAGTGAACGTAGCCTTAGCCGTCTTCCTCGGGAGTGACGAGCAAAGCTGATGTAGAAGTACCTTAAACCTGCAATCTAATAGTTCGCTGTAGGTGATTGTGGAGAAGTCTATGAGAGAACCAGCCAACTTTCTGCTAACTTTCGTTCTAATTCAGAGTTGAATGGATGATAAAGCAGAGAATGTTTCAGATTGACAGTTATTACCACGGAAACCTGAAAAATGACTTTTTCAGTGGTTGAATTTAAAGCTCTGAGGAGTCTGCTATATTTATTTTTCCTTCAAGTAAATTTAGTTTCACGCCTGTTCTTTTCTTTTTGCCAATTAATATGACAGCTACTGTGAATAACCAATGTTTCTTGCCAATTAAACTAGCACTATCTGGTCACCCTGCCATCCTCTAGGGATGAATATCGTCACTAGATATATAGGGTTTTATATGTGTGAAATCTTAAACCTGTAAAACACATAAATCTATCAGATGTAAGTAGAGCAGTAAACAGTAAAAATCTCTTGCACATAAAGTGTAGATTGTAATTAACTACAGTACTTGTTGTAATGGCTTTAAATGCCCATTCTGCCTCTCAGTGAGTTTGGAAAGTATATAAATAAAGCTGCATATTGCAGAGGTTGTTATTCAGCCTCCTCAGATCTGTTTTAGCACAAAAATCAATTTTTATTTCTTGTTGGCGGAGCTGCACAAAACTCAAATCGCAGAAAGATTGAGGTTTTGTTGAGTTTGTAGCGCTTTAACTCGGACACACACTCACTGTAATGCCTCATTAAGTTCACACAATGACACAAATTCTACATGTATAGCAGTTTTCATTTTTCCATAATGGACTCTGTCAAAGGGGTAAAAGTTGAGGTTTAAGTAATGTTTAAAATTGAGGTGGTACTCTGTGGTTGTGTTGTAAAGACTGCTTCATATTGAAAGTTAAAAATCTGGCCCCCTAAAGGAGCTTTAACAAAAATGATGGACACCTAATATAATGCAGTTTAGTTCATCACCTCTGCACTCTACAACCTCAATAGAAAACAGATACTTTGATGAATATTTCTCTGACTGAACATTATTTTGTATTTGAAAGGTAGTATTTGTGGCTGAGCTCTTGTGTACTCGATGAATTGTCTGCTGAGTGAGTATTTATATTCAGTTGTCGTCACACAGCAGCAGATTTCTGCATCCAGAGGCTCTGATGCTGCGCTTGCTGCTGCAGCGCGTGTACCAGTATCGATTACTTCAAACAAAGCAGAAGCTCTGCTAAACTTCCAAATCTTTTTTTGGGAAAGCAGACTTTACTTGCCGTTGCATTTGTTTTGGATGTTTGATGGGGGTGGGGGTGGGGGGAATACTTGAGAATTATTTCTGTTAATTTGAAGTAAATCAGTGTCTTAAAAATGTACATTTAGGTTTGATTTTAAATTGTGATTAATTAACATTCTATATTCCTAATCTTAAAAGTACTGTTGCAACAAACACAGTCAAGTTTCTTCGTTACTTCACTAAGATTTGCACAAATCCAGTTCTGATTCTTGATGAGAGACACATCCCCCAGCCCAGCCCCCCCCACCTCCCCAAAAAAAATTCAAAGAGGGTACATGTCTGGGGAAAAAGACAATCCCTGCTCTTCTGCGCTGCACTGTAACACCACTGGTTAATGGGTGGGGGGTTAGGGTTTGTCATATCTTCTGATCGCAGGTAAGCCTTCAAGAAAATGTTTTAATGGCTTAGCAACAACATGGACTCCGAGTCTAATCATGTTCTGAAAACTGGTGCGTCCAATCAAACCAGAGGTTCATGATTCACAATTGCATTAAGAATGACTTAAGTACTTTTTTTTTTCCCATATGGAGATCCTAACATTACACGTAGAGATAACCTAAGATCCAATCTCCAGTGAGGGTCTTACATTTGTTTTTCTTTTTAATGTTAATGTGATGCAAGAAAACATGCAGAATCATCATCTTCTTCTGATTGTTTGGTCTGCTCCACAGATCATCATCATTAGCAGCAGCAGCAGCATCTTGCTGACTTCAGTCCAAGATCTGAAGACATGAAACTGAAATCTGAATGACCTTGTAAAACCTCAAGTTGGCCGGAGGAGAAGAAAGACACGCCTGACACTGATCATTGTTAAACTCATGTCTGTTACTTCTTTCCACAGCTCCGACCTTCACCCTGCTGACACACTCCGACCACACAGTCAGCCATGTTCCTGTCGCCTCACACACTTTAATCCACATTAAGATAACAGCTCAGTCTAACAACCATCTGCCCACTTATTTCATCTCCGCACTCAAAGGCTAAGTCAAACCTTTTTCTGCTCTTGGGCAACAAATAAACATCCATATGTGTTTTCACAATTCAAACTCTCAAATTGGGTCTTCAAACTGAAAGTACGGAGGATTTGGTTGTAAAGGAATGGAAAACAAGTCAGTATTTACAAGTATTCGCTCCAATGTGCTTACATCATGAATATTTTTTTCATTGTCACTGATTAATCTTTCATTGCTGCCTTTTTTTTGACCATATGTCCCCACAGAGCGAGTACATGGCAAGAGCACAATAAACAGTGACTCCGACTAACCGGCTTCTCATAGGGTTTCTATATAAAAGCCAAATATTCAAATGTGACTGAATCATTCCTGTAAGTGTCAGGAAAAAATATAAGAATGATAAACTATGTCATGAGGAGCTGGGGAGATTAAAAACTGCAACGTTGAGCCATGAAAGCGTCATGAATACGACCATATTTTAATACATAATTAACAGATTTCACCGGCTGTACAAATGCACCAAATGCAGACAAAAGGAAAGGGAAAGAGTGATGCAGGACGAGCAGAAGGGAGCCAACACACCCACAGAGTGAGTGAAGCAACAGAAGCACATTTAATACACTCATTATGTGGAAAAAGAAGATTTTTACCTGGTCCTAATCTACGGGCAGCTGCAGGCTGATGTTCATGGTGTCTCTGCAGGAGGAACAGGAGGTACAATCCAGTGGTGCAGATGCAGCAACAGAACTAAGAAATAAAAAATAATGAAATCTTAATCTTAATGAAAAACCTGGTAGATCTTATTTTTTAAAGGTTAAAAAAGCTCTTGAGCCTGTTTGGTTTTATTAATGGTTTTTCAGGTTTCAGATGAAGCAGAGCGGTGGGATGTCGCTGCAGCAGCTCTCTGTCTGTTCCACTGCAAGAGGTAAAAGGAAAGGGAGGGGTGCTTTAATGTGTGTGTGTGCGCCTGTGTGTATGTGCCTGTGTGTGTGTGTGTGCAGGAGGCAGCACTTTCACTACAGTGTCTTCTTCCCTCTCCATCCTCCTCCAGCATGAAGCTTGAGGATATTAAAGGTAGTTCTTTTTCTACCCTTTCAAAATAAAAGTTTAGTGTGTGTAGATTCAAGATCCATTATGATCGGAGAAAATAATTAGATTATTTAGTGAAGCAAAAGTGATTGCACCACTTTATAAAATGACTTTACTACAAGTGATGTATGCCACCAAATTTAGGCAAAAGTATTTGACAAAAAAACAAGAAGAAAAAATGCCCAAACACTGTTTGTTCCATCAAGCGTTATTCATCATTTTTCAAATGGGATATGTTGAAACTGAGCTAATTTTATAATTTATATATATATATATATATATATATATATATATATACATTATATATTATATAGACTGCATCTTTTAAGTATTTGTATTAACCATAAAAAGTAAAAAGAAATGTCTACATAGATCATTTGCATGTTTGGTTTGTAAAAAAAAGGCTCATCCTGCTTTCTCTTAACAGTCAAATGTATCGCCCAATGTGAATCTTTTTAAGAGGAAATGTAAGAGTAAAACTGTTCTGTTGATCACATTGCCTGACACCTACCCTGCTGCAGTGGGTTAAAAAAAACTTTATAGAAGCTCATATCATCGATATCAATAGTCAGGTTCATAATAAACTAAAGGCTACTTACAGGAGCTTTTCATGTGAAGTTGTACAATAATTAGAGCTTTAAGATATACCGTATGTATGCTGTAAACGTACCCTCTGAGTATAAGACCTGAGGAAGACAGTTACCTCAAATGTTTCCTCTTATTTTGAAGGAAAACGGTCCCCTTTCCTGTATGGTCTTGGCTGACAGTGGATGTTTTGCCGCACGTTTTTCTGTCCCTGTCCTGCTGTTTTTCTGCTGATGGAGCACATTCCCAACAATGCACCAGATACACTTCACATTCTGCAGTGACAGTAATAAAGATAATCATTCAGTTTAGTATTATATGTTGCAGGTGTCAGTCATGAATTTCATAATCATCTCAGTGTCAATGTTCAATATCTGTGTCAATTCCATCCATATGAACTCCTGCATGGTGAAATACTTTACCTTAAACAACCCTAGAAATGAATCCTGACACAGGAAATAAACATACACACATCCCATTAAAGAGATTTGATTCCTGTATTACACAATAGACCCAATCTTATATAGATTTGATTTTTTTACTGCCCACAAGACATCACTGAGGAACCACAGGGAAAAAAAAGTGCACAAATCAGTGTTATTGCCACTCTGGGGCTCCTATCCATCTCATGCTCTTGATCTTTGTAGCACATAAAGATTGGCAGAACAATAACTACTTTGTATTGTGAAGTATTGAGAAAGAAAATTGAAAATCTGGCAAAATGGTTATTAACTAAATTGATGATATGATTAACTGGGAGAAAGCACCAACCTCCTAATGAAGAATGGGCTTCACATGGAGCAACTAGCTGTTTGTAAGAGGGCGACATATTCTCTGGTGAACAAACTTACACACCATACATTTATATTCTTCTTGATTATCACAAACTCTATCCTAGAAGACTTAACAAGTCTCTGTAAATAAATGACTAATAGTCTTTGAACACAGAGCAATGACATAGATACAATTTAAAATAAGTATTATTTATTATTACACTCAAGGCCACAAGGTAAGGTACAGGTATAGTATGTCACTATACCTGCTCCATATTTTCAAACTTTTTGTGTGTGTGTGTGTTAGTTTTTTCTTTGTCCACTTTTCTGTGCCTGCCTCTTTGTATGTGGAGAAGTGATTTTAATTGGCTCTGATCAGATCTTTGTTTCTGTCTCATGTGGAATATTAAAACAAATTTATAAAATAATTTATTAATTAGTCTTAAGTAATACATATGTGAAGTCTTGTGTAATAACATGTAGAATTAATACAAAATAAAATCAGTATATATTTCTTAGAAGGCACTTTATTCTGAAGGAACACGGACAACCAATCCAAATCGTGAGAACCGTTTCCTGTTTCGTTTGTTGTTGTCTTGCACTGTTTCCTGTGTGGATGCTGCTGCAGCAGTCTGTTTTCAAAATGACCAAACTCCAGCTACTGAACGCCTACCTTACGGAGCGGCTGGCGGTGGTGGTGAAGGAGATCATCGACGTGGTGGAGGACACGGTGACCGAGTACCGGGAGGAGACCGCCCGAACCAAGCAGGAGAACGAGAGCCTGCGGAGGCAGCTGCGGGACATCCTGCTGCTGGAGGCCGAGACTGAGTGGCTGAGTAAGGGCCAGCTAGTCAGCTAGCTCCGAGATCAAGCTTCCAAACTACCCCCCCCAGAAATAGTCCAGTTTCAAAGTTCAAAGTAATTTTGCCTCAAATATCGAAATTAAACACAAATTGCATTGTTTTCCAGTCTAACTAAGTTCCGGTCTTTAATTCGGCACCTGTAAAATATTCTAAATCGCTCGAATTTAAGGACAAAAAGGTTCTGATCTTAGCATTTAATGTTACTTCCTCTTGACCCACATCTTGACATTATCTGATCTGGTTAAAGATAAAAGCAGCGCTGCTTCTTTGTGTAGCAATACTTCGAATTAACCCTAAATGTTTGTTCTAACAGAATCCATAAATAATTATGTGTTCATGGGTGAAATCATGAATGTATTTTATTTTATTACACTGGTAGGAAATTGCATAGAGTTTTGCATACATGTGATTTTCTACAAATGTTAGTACTAGTGCTTTTGGGAAGCGAACTTGGAAGTGATTCTTCCATGGGCTCATTTGACTTCTCGTCATTCCTGTTTCTGTTACATGAATTTGGCTGTTTATCTCTAATTTCTGTATGCAACAGGCACAAATGCAATTATACAAATTCCTTAGTAAATTGTAGAATAATACATTTTAGTTAGCAGAACGATATATGATGGTTTAAAGTTGGAGACACAGGCCATGATCTAAAATAAAGGATACAGCTGAGAGGATAAGTTATTTCATTTACTTACGGTATTGGAAGGTAAAATGTATTATGACTATTGACATTTAATTTTTTTCCTGTTACTGTTAGTATGTTGAAATCTTGATAAAACCTTTACATACTTGTTGTACCTTTAACACATAAAAAGCTATGACTGTCTCTTTCCACCCTGTGAAGGCGGCTGCAGGATACTTGTTGATAACCTTGTGTTACTGTGTGGTGTTCTAGGATCGACCAAAACCAGTCTTGGGTTTGCAGCCTCAGACCAGCAGCAGTTACCTGATCTGCAGCTTAGATCCCGCTCAGAGGAGCCAGACTCCACCCTGAACCAGCCCAAGCGCCCACTAGCCGACGCAGCCGAGCCGATTCATGAGCAGGTCGTTTCTCTGCATCTCCCATCACTGCAGAGCGAGAAGTTCTCAGGGCCGGTAATCCTGCCACGACAGAAGAAGCCTGCTGAGGTGAGGGAGTCTGTCTTGAAGCCTGAGCCTTACAGTGAGTTACTGCAGAACGCATCACCTCCTTCTCCTCACTGCTCCCTGAATCCTTCTGCCCCGTCCGTCCCTAAAATTCACGTTGCTGTACCTGTGCTAATAGAGGAGTCGCAGGCCACAGCACCTGTTCTGATCAAAGCTGAACCTGAAGAATACAAAGTGAGCGAACCTGAAGGTGAAGCCGAATCTTTGACAGCGGCGGGACAGGGTCAAGTCACACAGGAACAGTTGAACATCAGGACAGATTCAGACAGGACAGTCTTGGTGCTTTCAGACCGACACAGAGCTCATCGAAAAGAGAAATCTTCTCATGAGAAGCTGACACTTACTAATGAAGGTGCAGCTGCTGCTTTTCCCGAGCTCGTCCACCGCTGCCCTAGGTGCGGCGAGGTGTTCGACCGGGCCAGCAGCCTCCGACTCCACCTGGAACAGAAGAGAAAGACCTATGCCTGCGAGTGGTGCTGCAAGTCCTTCGCACAGTCTGCAGACCTGCGGCGTCACCTGCGCACGCACACAGGCGAGAGGCCGCACCGCTGCAACTTCTGCTCCAAAAGCTTCAGCCAGAGGGGGAACCTGCGTCGACACCTGCGCATCCACACGGGGGAGCGGCCCTATAGCTGCCCGTACTGCTTCCGCACCTTCAGTGACGGAGACACCATGAAGAAACATAAACGCACACATTTAGGAGAGAAACCAGAGCGCAGCGTTCAGTGCTCCAAGACATTTTCAAGAACCGGCAGCTTGCAGACACACTCAAAGAAGGACATGTGTTTCATGGCAAACGCCTGATTGGTCCATTTAAGGAAGGTCCGTCTCTTCAGGAGGGTGAGTGCTATCACAAGCCAGAGGGGTGTAGATATGAAGACATAAAAAAACAAAAGACAAATTAGTATACAAATCTTAATCTCAAAACTACGCTCTCTGCAGGACAGACTACTTAATGTCACACTTTCTAAATAACTCCAAGTGTTTTTTCATTTAGCCAAAAAAGAGCAAAATAAGAGATTCTGATACCAGTAAACTCTGACAGGTCAATATTGGCTAAAAATGATCAATGGTTGGCTCTTTTACAGAACCGGCCAAACTTTTAAGACAGGGTACTCATACAGAGAAGTCAATGGCTGGTGTAGGCTGTGGAGATGATTTGGCAACTTCTGAATTCACTTTTTACATTTTGAGATTCAATCATTTGGCGAGTTAAGATGTTTTGATAACAGACCGGAAAGGAATTAAAACATATTTACAGCCCACTGGCTTGTGATGCAGCACCATCAAGGTTCATGATGATAGAAAAGGGAAAAGTCGAGCAGCACCAATGAAAGAACAGATCTGATCTACATTCACCCTGACAGTTTTACTTTGTTCCTTGTGACGATCATCTTTAACAACCTTTTGTGTTTTCATCCATTGGACGGCTATAGTTTACAGGCAGCTACACTGATTATTCACGCCTTCATATTTATTCATCTTTTTTATACATTTTTATCCCTTAAGTTTTACTTAAAGAGCAGGTATGTGGTTGCTGGAATGACCGCCTGCAGAGGATCCATCAGAACGTCTGCACCAGTTTTAACCCCAAAAAGGGGGAAGAAAAACAGACTCCGGACTTTTTAAGTCCACATTTCTTGGAAGAGACTATTGCACCCAACAGAGTCACTGGTAATCAGGGAGGAGAAGTTTGAAGAAATAATGTGATGGAATCAACTTTGCACTTACCTTGTTATTCGGGGAAAAGATTTATAAATGGCACTGTGATAATTATAGTTTTTCTCGCTGACCATTTTACTGGCAAAATATATCCAGGTATGATCAGCACACACATTTAATTAATTAGCCAGTTTATTCAATACATCCCCATTTGCTCTTATGTACCGTAACTGTGGTTTTGGGTATTGTTTTGAAACAAAAGCATTTATAGACACATAATAGAATATGAGTATTTTCCACCTAAAAACAGCCCCCTCCTTTCTGAGGATGATCATGGGATCTGAAACTCCAGAACAGCTACTAAGTAGTAGTTTGTGTTTTTCAAGCTATAGTAGGAAGTTTCACTAATCATTTGTTTTGCAAAACTGGTTGCAGGTGTAGCTTATTAAGACTGTATCTGCAATGTTCTAAACATTGTCCAGGAGAGCCTCGTGTGTGAACGCTAACAGCTTGATTTATCAAAGGTTGAGCTGGGTGGGAACTTCGTGAATGTAACAACTCATGCTCTTTTCTGCTAGCCAGTAGGTTTTATTGCACTCCTTAATTGAAGCTGTGAATACATCCAATTAGGTGTGTAATTGGAAAGGCCAAAACTGTCCTCAAAGCATTTGACTCTGTTGCCTTGTGCACCATCTTGAAAATGTTCTTAATATTACAAGGGGATTGTTGCAGTGTTGTTGTTTTCTGTCATGTGCCTCCTGGGACCCCCCGCCTTCCCTTCCTCTAGTGTCTGACATGGTAAACCTCCCGCTGTGAGGGGCATGTGCGAAAGGGCAACTCTTGTAAATGTCAGGGTCAGGCTGTCCTGACATTTTCGATATGATTTGATATCAACACGTGTTGGTCTTTTTTCACATCTTATTGAAGAGCTTCCTGAATCCTGTCGTCAGAACAAAATAGTCCCTGCTTTCACCTCGATTTTTTTTTCTTGTGCTCTAAAGTTATGCCTTCTTTTAGATATATTTTACTTCTACAGGCTTCCTGCACTTCAGCCCTTCTTTTTCAGTCTGGGTGCTTCTGTGCACTCCTGAGCCCAAGCCGAGCAAATGTAAGCACCAGCAGGGACTATTTGAGTGCAAAGGCATCTGTTTGTGGAATCAATAATAAATGCTCTCAAATTGAGACACCAGGGTCTTGAATAGAGATAGAAAAGAAGCCCTTGCACATTCTGATGTTGGGATGTTTCGTTTTCTACTGTGTTGGCACTCTTCCTGGCTGGTTTCCACTGAACTTTAACACAAAGAGACCGAAAACATGTTGAATGAACATACTTAGAGAAGTGCACATTGCGTGGATTTTAACCTGATCAAATGAACTCTTGAGAAGAGACTTTTATGTCTTCAGAGCAGACTGGATGCTGCAGTACTACACAGAATAATATATTATTTATATTTTCTTTGATCAGTGTTAGAAGGTTCTTATCTTGTCTGATGTCACTCCTGGAAATATATGTGCTTTTGGAGACGGCTGATTGTGAATCGTGAAGAGAGACAGCTTCACACTGCAGAAGGAAAAGACAGTTCTGATATTTTTTACAGAAAAAAAAGACGAAACATTTTGCCAGCGGTGAAGCTTATTGGAGTTACACAGTGAATGTGTTGATCTCTGAGGACCTTCAATTCTGTGTGATTATGTTTTGTATTGATGTGAAACGTGCTGTTTTTTTTTTTTAGACAAAAATAAATACTTAGTCAAAGTGCCTTGCTTCTGAAACATTGATTTCTGTTCTTTAAACACTCAGTGCAAATTCTTTAAATATTTGACATGTAGTGATAGTTAGATGTGGGATGTATTTGATAATCTTTACGTCCTAGTAATTAAAAAATAAACTCTTAAAACAATATGTTACAAGTGAAAGCCCTTAAATGAAAATGTGACTTTTGAAAAAGTTCTCTTCGATTGGACTATTAATAAATATTCCATCAAGTTATTCATACAGATGCATTTAAAATGTGTCTTCATATGTAACTTGTGCAAAATACAAATGTAAAAAATATAAATTACATAATGTAAGAAGTACATGAGAGATAGTTGAGAGTTCACAGTATACATCAGTGATCTTATTTTACCTTGTAAGATGCTGCTGTAGTCCTCTGTTGTGGCTGTAGGGGGCAGTAGTGATCCACATACCCAGTATCATAACAAACCCAAACTCACTCTTCAGTCTGTGTTGCATTCCAAATTTATTGTTGCATTGTACATAAAACACCTGATAGAAATGTTGGAACAACTGTAAAGCACAAGATCAGTGTAAACAACGGTTCAACAATATTGTATAGAAAGCCACATTCATACATTCAGTCGTGCATAAAAGATGAACAATAACACTGTAAACAGCAGGATTTGAACATGAGCCATTCCTCAATGTTTCCTCGTGTAAACACTTTGAAGTTAGAAAACAGGCAGGGGGAAGGTTATAGAGATTATAAATATATCAACATATTGCATCATGCAACAACAAGGAAGAACCACTTGTATTGAGAAGTCATCCTAATCATCAGTCATGGTAACAACAGGATGCACTTTGAATGTTCACAGTTCAGTTAAGAGTGCAATAGTAACGTGATCCGTGCGTTTCACAGCATGGCAAATATCAGAGAAATGATACGAAGCAAAATGAGATTATTGTGGTTCGACTGATATGAGACTGTAACATGAGACCATCATAGTTTTAAATGGAAGCTACTGATGGTTCATCCTGACTGATTGATCAACCCCTTCGCCTGTACAGCACCTGTCCAATCATAGCTTAAAAACCCTTACTAGACATGTTGATTCTTCAGTACGTGAATGGGGCTGATGTTGTGCTGTAAACAGGCCATGAGAGCACGTTTTTGCATTGTGCTAGTCGTGTGAGTTTGACGGTGGGATCATTTATGATTAAATGTGTTGGTTAACAGGAATCTGGGAAAATGTATCCTTCCTGGTACGTCCACAATGTCCTAAACGAAACGCAGTAGTCTCTGTTTTCAAAGCGTTATTTGTACGCTATATTCAGGATGAAGATGTTGCGTTGATCGTCAAAGAGGACGTGACTGTGATACTATGTGGGATTAAACAGTGATCATAAAACCCCTTTGCTAGCACATGTATTGGGATGAGTCTAGTCATGGAAACTAGATCATTCTAAGGGTTTGTTCAGTGTACACTGAACTACACTTTAGCTAAAGCTAAAGTAGTGTTGCCCAGACTAGACCTAATGTTTAAAGCCCATACTCTTGTTACATCAAAAGTAAAACATAAACCAGTACATAAACTCAGCAACCAGAGGGATTATTTTTCCAATCTAAGATACTTAAAATATGGTACAGTACACTAATAGATCTACCTCGTCAAATGGGAAAAAATGGTTTCCATTTCATAACATTGTTCATTGGCATTGGGAGGATACAGTCTTTTTCCTAAGGCTTGTTAGCGTGAGATCATGGCCTAGACCTGTTCTACCATTATAGACCTCGGTCTATAATGATATTACGTATGCAGCCATCAAGTAGATACTGTCAAGTAAATACTGTATCTTTTACATTCTGTGGTTAGTCAGCTGAATAGGTTAAAATTTAAACTGAGGCTGTTTTCTGCTGAATCATGGGGCTAATGTTGAATGTATTAGTTAGATAACTAAACTTGCTAAAGCGGGTGAATCTACTAGCAACAGTTGTCCATTTAGCTGGTGAACTTCTGTATGGTAATGGTTTTAATTTGGAGGTAAAACAAATTTTGATTACTAATTGTCCCTGTTATTGTTAAAAGGGATTGTGTTGTGCTGGAAGACGAACTATAGCGTGCTTAGCAAACATTCAATTACAAAGATTTCTCATAAATTATAGTAAAATGTCTGTGCAAAGAAAACCATAAAATTGGTAGTGGTTCACTGTTCAATTTTGAAGACCAACGTGTCAAACTCAGATTTAAAATCAATTTTCTTTGCACAATGACTGCTTTTTAGTAAGTGTTAGAGGGACCAAGTTAGACCCAATTCTCACTCGCTTCTTAACATGTTTATGAAGATATCATTATCCAGTCAGAAGACAGTGAACATCCAACCACAGGGGCTGGATCAGACAGAACATGAAATATAAGAGATCTACATTTTCTGTCGGGTCCAGCCTAAGTTCTTTGAACACAAATATTATCGTGTGATGGTTTTGTTTTTCTCCTCAACACCAGCATCACTGACTGGTCAGCAGTTTGGATTGCCGAAATTCAGGTTTTCATGTCAAATAATTTAATCAACCATGTGTAGCCCCAGATGGTCTCTCTCATCTTAAATTGTAACATTAAAGTCATAGACCTATCAATCTCTTTTCTTTATTTTCCTCATAACAGACAAATTATTTGTTTTAATCCTTGTAAATAGCTGTTTATTTTTTGATTCTGAGCTCTATTTTAGCACTTTACCTAATCTTGCCTTTGCCCTTTTCTACCTCAAAGGGTTAAAAAATTCTTCTCATTCTCTTTACGTTTGATAGATTTTGAAAAAAGAGGTTTCCTATATCCGACAAGTCAGATTGTACTTACCCTTCAACATGGCTATGGCTTAATCCAAAGCTTCCTATGGATTATGACGTTATGTATGATGGATCCCTACTTAAACCTTTCACTGTGTTGAAGGAGCAATATAAAACCTCAGGATCCATTCAGATAATACTTGAAAATAAGACCTTTACCAAACTAGAATAAACCCCCAAAGGACTCTGCAAGACCTGATACCCTTACTGAATTACTTGCTGTTGTTGGTATTGGTAAATGAGCCACAATTTATGACTCTACACTTAGCTAAGGGCAGACCTTTGTTTTGTCTTTCAATGATGAAGAATAGAGAGCCTTTCAGCACAACCCAAGAAAATCCTCCAGTAACATAAGGACCAGATAAGACTATAATTAGTATTAAAATCTTTGGTGTCAGAAGTGTTGTGACTCCCTTTGATGTCCTAATGCTGGCCAACGTGTTGAAGTGGCTCTGGTTGTATGCAGGGTAACAGTTTGTGCACAAGAGAAATAGAGACGGAACACATAGGCCTTGATGCAATCCTTGAACCCATCGACTATTCTCTGATAAATATTGAGCTTTTTATTCTTTGCAAATAGACATCTGCATATGAATTCAGTTAACGGAATGTAAATGAAAGGAAGAGGAAGTCTTGGCCTCGGCTAAACTGAGAGCCCTTAAAAACATCCCATTGCCCCCAGAGGTTTAATGATCAAAGCTGGTTTTCTGAAATTGGGTTGATAGGACAACTTCAAAAGACAGTGTTGTTGTAGGAAATCCATGGATCATCCTCCATCCAGAACATACAGAAGTGGCAGGATGGCCACTAACAGGAGAATAATATTTATCGATAATGCGTGCTGAATTTTTTTTTTTTTTTCTACTAAACATTGCTATGGACTATCTTGAGGTGAAAAGTTGTAAAAAACCAAAGACTGTACATAAAAAGTTGACATAGCCATTTTGATATGACCCATTAATTGGAGCCAGAAGTAACCGTACCTTGATGAGAGGGTAGAAAGGTTAACAAACACTAAGTTACCCAGCTTACCCAAGAAACGTCAGCAACACATTTCTAATCAAAAGTAACTGATAATGCTCGGTATGCTTATTTTGGCTATTGAAAAAAGAAATTATGAAACTATGAATATGAAATATGAACTGGGTATACTCAATTTATGCCCCAAATGTCAGCCCGTCCAGCAAAGGATGAATGCCCTGTGTTATAAACAGTGACATGTTAGACTACTCTTGCATATTTGGTTCAACTTAATGGGTCTTAAGTATCGGAACATAGTCACTGAACTTTAGCTGCTCGACTTCATTATGAAGTTAACGGCACAGTGTTAGACAACAGGGCAGACAAGAAGTCCTCAGGCTACATTTTTTCCTAGATTAGCATTGGCAAGATATGACTCACCCAACAATGTATCTGATTGGCTTACTCTTATTTACGTACCCTACCAACAGACGAAGGCAACAATAAGTACAAGCCAATAAGAGACAGATAAGGCTAGCACTGTATGATGCCCATCACAGGGCATTTTGAAGATTTTATAGGCAATGAAGGACTGAAAAATAAGTAGGTATGAGCTGTGTACTCCATCATCCCTTCCACTCCACTGAAGGCAGTAAATTACATTTATCAGGTCACTGTGTTAGCCACTTGTCAATCCCAAGGTAGAAAAACATACCATTTTAAACTATTATTTACTAAATGAACATGCTACTTTGAAGAAGACTTGAAGCAAGCAAATGAGAACATAAACTTGATAAGAAAATGTTTACAGAGCTTTTGAATCAAGTGAGAAGAAGGCTCATTATTTGGGAGGCTTCGACATTATCTGACAATTCTTTGGCAACCACTGGGAGTCACAATGAATGCATGTTTGAGGCCATTCAGTATTGGTTTCACTTCTCAGACTCGGAGGCTATGTCTATTTTTTATATACAGTCAATATCTTCACACATATTTCTGCTAAATTACTGAAAGACTGCCTGCTTATATTTTTGGTAAAATGATGCTGAGCTCTGAGACTTGGATGTAATGGTACAGTCATAAACAAGAGAAACATTGGGGGATTAGACTGTATAAAAAAACAGACTAATATGTGTTGGCTGAGGCAGCTTCATGACAGTTCAACATAAAATAAATGTCTCTGTTTTGGCAATGGACAGTTAAAATAGATTCTTCTTCCAAAGAGAGGGCGGGACGTGTGATTTACTAAACAAATGTGTTTGCTTTTGAAAAAAAAAAACACGCAGTTTAATCTCAACTAAACTAAAAGTACAAATCTGACATCTGCAGCTATGATTTGTGTTTCATGTCTGAGTTTCATCCCTCTTCAGTCGAGTGTTTCGGTCTAACCCTGTGATGTGTGAATGAGGTGAGATGTTGATGTGTTGATGGAGCCATTAAGCTTCTTTTCCAGGCGACTCACTGATCAGTAATGAAGGCACAACACCGTGCTGCTCCAGCTCCACCTTGCTCTCCACCCATCATGTTGGCTCCTAATATTATACACTTTTTTTTTCTTTCAATCGCTGCTGACTCCTGCGGTGTACTTTCTCATGTCTGTCCCTCAGAGAAACAGGAGGATATCTGTTGAGCCGCTAATTACCTGACAGTGACCGCATGCAGAATGCCGTGCAGGCTTTTAGTCGTGGCTGAGGGTTTGTGGCAGCTCGTTGGTCAGGATGTGCCACCGCTCCACCCTCCTGCCTTGGTTCTTCAGGCAGTCCATCCAGTGGCGGAGGGCGTCGCCCTGGGAGTGACAGCTCAGACAAACTCCACCTGAAAAACAACAATCACAATGTCTCTGGAGTTACTCTCAATGTCAAAGAAAGTAAGTTCTGAACATTTCTTCGATGTGATTAGAAGAGAAGGATTCCTCATGGAGCTGCAGTGGATGTACTGTATATTTAAATAATCGTCAGCTGCGGGCTTTGACATAATTGTTATCCAACAACTAAAACATGCAGCTTTACTCTGATAACTTCTATAATACTGAGGGTATTTTCACAAAACATTTAAAAAATTGAATAATATAAAATTCTTAATTTTTAATACATAATGAAACATGTTTTTGCACCAAACTCATTTATCTGTTCACACAGATTCACAGACTAACTCTGGCCTCAGCAATGTTTGAACCGCAATGCATGATGGTATATTTTGCGAGGAGAGTGACCATCGGTTGTAAACTACTCCTCAGAGTGATTTCAGACACAGCCAAAGATCCACTTTAGGTCGGTTAGGAAACAGCACATCAGATTCTTCACAAAGTTCAATGACCCCAAAGCAAATGTCCGTTATGTTTCCTTTCACTGTTCCTCCTCTACTCTGATGATCCAGCACACACAGCGCCACATTTGTCCACAGAGCTGTCAATCATAGCATCTTACCCCTATTTTAGCATCAAATAACTAATAAACTAAATACTGCAGTCAAAAGGGGGCGCTCTAAATATTTTGGAAGGAGAGAAGCCAGAGGTTATTTTCAGCACTCTCACGACAGACAAGATTACAGTAAAATGTCTTTATTTGATCAGGGGATTAATTCACTTTAAGGCTCTCATATTTTGAATGGCTTTAATTGAACTCCTGGTGTATGATTTCCTTGTTAGCCTTTAGCTTAAGGACAAACAAAAGTGAACAGAACATTGTGTTTAAGATGCAGCTTTACTGAAACTGTTGTCTTGAGGTTAATAATCAGCGATCCGGAGCCCTCTTAGTTTCCGTGTTTACAAGAAGAGAGGATCAGTGATACAGATGGAAAAAGTGATTCAAATGCATAAAACATACAAGTCTCTGGTGAACAGCTTTGCAGGCATATGTTGGATTCATTATTATTTACAGAAGCAGGGTTTTCTCACAGCTGAAACAGGAATGTCTCCTGTCAGTTTATCTTGTGAATATTTCGTCTGAGTTTCTCAACAACCTGAAAATGTATCCTTGAGAATTTTACTAAAAAAGTAGCGAGTGGCATGCCTCCTCCACATGCTGAGGATAACGTTTGTGTTCAAACTCGCTGAGACGTCAGAGCCTCACCTATGAAATCATTGGAGCGTCCCAGGTCGTAGTCCCACACAGTCACCTCCAGAGTCTTATTGGTGAGCTCGGACAGGGAAATCTCGTAGAAGAACTCCTGCAGGGATCAAATACATTCAGGGTTCAAAATGGAAACAGGTCAGTGAGGTTCAGCTTTGAAAAAACAATCCTGCATCATGTTGTGTCTCAGTTTCCTGTGGAGGTCATATCTGTAATTTCAGTAGAAGCTGGGAAAAAAAAAGGTATTTTTTCCATTTCATTTGCAGAGGACGACGTCACAAAAGAAGCTGGAAATAATCCTTTTGTAGGGATATTTATTACACTGTTAACTCAAACTGAGGCGAAGGCCTTGGTGAACAGGTGGTGTTTGAGGAGAGTATTGAAAACGTCCAGAGATGCAGCAGTGCGGATTTCTGCAGATAAGAGAGTTCCAGAGGGTGGGGGCTGAGGAACTGAAGGCTCTGTCACCAAAGGATTGCAGTATGGTGTGGGGGTTGGAGAGCAGGCCTGTGGCTGAGTACCGCAGCTGTCGGGACGGGGTGTAGGGATGGAGTAGGTTGGTGATGTATGGTGGGTCTAGAGCATGGAGCATCTATATCCATCTATCTCTACTGATCGAAAATAGAACAAAGAAAGATATCGGCCAAAATATCGGTATCGGATTTTTTTTCCCCTAGTATCGGTCAAGCCCTAATATTTATGTCTACTTTTCTTCTGAGAAATGGGTTTCATCATTATTTTATGCAGAACTTTAAGTTCAATTGTTTTTAAAGAGTAGAACTTGTAATGTGGTCATCTTCATTCATTAGCCGGGTAGATTTTGAGATAGAAACGATCAAAGTGGGAGACACACTGTGCAGGAGAAGCAGAACAGTTTCTCTCTGAAACTGAAATTTTCAGTCTATTTAAAAACTCTTATTTTGGTAATGATTTATGTGGGAGAAACCCTGCAGAGGATGAAGCAGCAGTGCAGGGATTTTCCTGCAGATCTGGGCAAAACTCGTAGCAGAGATACAGTCAGCGAGCAAGATTTTCAATGAAACATAAATCTCAAGTGAGATCATTTCCATTAACTCTGATGGGGAGCAGTCGCTGTTAGAAGTGCAGCGGGGGGGGGGGGTTCTTACCTCGTTGAATTCAGGGTTGAGAGTTTTTTTTATCACTGTTGTTTTGTGCTTGGATTTCTTCTCTATATCGGGCTTCAGGTATCTGACGGCAGAAGAAAAAGAAAAAGCAGATTTTTCCCCTACTTCTGAAAAAAGGCATAAAAGAGTTTGCTGCTGAGTGTGAAAGAGGTTTAAACAAAATGTTGCTGCCTGACTCTGAACAACCCTACCCAGACAAACAAACAGAAATGTACTCTTTATCCGAGGACAACCAGCATTGTTATCTGGAGATAAAGAGATTAATAAGTCGAGATCTTGAGAAATCAATCCAAAATTAAACTCAATCACTAGTAGACTTGTAGCAAAGCCAAGTTTCACCTTGTGTTGCTTCTTTAATTTGATGGTGTGATCCTTTTGAGTTTATTTCTGCAGGTTAAGCACAACTGGCTAAAGTTACCATTCCAGAAAACAAGAAAACCAAACTGGATCCTGTGCAGGGTTCAAAACCTGACGATTTGAGGCTGATCGGTGCCCACTTTGATGACCTGTTTGCTTGGGATCATGATGATTTCTTTGATAGACACAAACTGCAAGCGTTCCCCCCATGCACACTCTAAAGTACAAAAGTGTTCAATGACAATTAACCTAAAGTGATGTAATCTTGTAAATCATCATGATAAAATCAGAAACTAATAATGTGGGCTCAGTGGCAGCGAGCTGCACGGGGGAGCCTCAGCTACACAAATCATCTTCATCAGTGGTAGATCCTTGCTTTAGGTACTGAGCGGTTATATAAAGAGATGACACGAGGAGATACTAATGACGATGTGAATTCTGGACTGACCCGCTCGGCTCGGCTTCAGGCTGACAGGAAGACGACTGAGGCCATGTACCAGTGTCAAAACTCTCTGGATGTAGTGCTAATGTTGGAGAAGCTGTGCAGCAAATGAAGGAGCCTGGAGCTGGAATATAACACCTGTTAATACTCTCACTCTGTCTGAATGGACTTCACTCAGGCTGCAGCTCCACATATATATGCTCTGATCTCTGGAGCTGCAGTTTAACATCTTTTGCTGCTTGATGCTGTATGCAGAGGTGCACTCAGGCTTTCTGAGAGGACAGTGAGAACATTAAAAGGGCAACTGTTTTCTCATACAGAGTCATGTTGATTTCCAAACCTTGGCTGTTATTGATCTTTTTCATCTTGTAACTGAGATTTCAAAGATCCTTCTAGGAAAGGCTTTACTAGACTAAGTCAGATAAGTGTTGCAGCTTGTATAACAGCCTACATGGGTATAATGTTTCAACTGCGAGACACCGTTTTAAGATTTCCATGAACAATAACATTTTCAGCCAATGCCTCTTACTGTTTCAAATCATGTCACTGTTGTTCATGACTGTATCATTAAACCAAAAGGAATGATTTTAATTAGCTAATGAGCTTCAGTAGTGGCAAAGTTCTCCAGATACAGATTTTTAATTAGAAACTGCTTTATTTCTGTGTGCTCAGACGTACAAGCGGTTAGGTTCCCATGTACTGAGGCTATAGTCCTACAAGCGGGCGGCCCGGTTTTAAGTCCGGCATGTGGCTCCCTTCCTTCATGTCATTCCCCGCTCTCTCTCTCTCTCTCTCTCTCTCCCTGGTTTCCTACTCTATTAACTGTTCTGTCCAAATAAAGGCAAAAAGCCCAAAAATGTATCTTTAAAAAAAAAGAAAAGAAACAGCTTTATTAAGGTTTTCACTTTTACCTCAGAGCCTGCTATTCAAACGAAATCCTGACCTGGTTCACCGCATGTATATTTTCAGAATGTAAGCAGTGACACTGCAGGGAAATATGTTGATTCATTTTAAAAACCTGGTAGACCTCTAAATTCACTTGGCTTCTTGTTCTGACTCAGACTCAGTTCGTATTCTGACAGCATGCAACAAAGTTTTCTTGCGAGTCGGAGAAAACAAAAGCGAAGCCTTAAATCTTCGACTTAGCGCCTCAGTGTTTCCTTCTGACAGAGCTCAGCTATGACTACTCCGCTCACTCGGTTTCCTTCTCCTCACTGATTATCCTTCCTGCTGGCAAACATATGGTGCCCCTTTTACAGCAACAGCATCACTGATTAGCAAAGTTAATAAGATGGCAAAACTCCAGCTTTTCTGATTTTCTTGTCAGTCCTTCAGTCCAGTGTTAAGCGGTCCTTCTCAGGGATCAGGTCTGGTTCAATGTTTAGGACCGAGTGAGACCAGTACCCCCCCAAAAAATCTGTGTTTCAACATGACGTTACTTTCTTTGCCAAAACAATTATTCTGAAGCAATATTAATTCAGTGAATCCAACTGCAAGATAAAAAAAACGTGTTGTTAAATTGTAATTGTTATCTTGGTTTTATTTTGGCTGCAGTGCAGATATTTCCGCTTCTACCATGGTTTGGTAAACATGGTAATTAGTGTTAGGAAAAGTTTTAGGACAAAAATTATGTAAAGTTCCTCACTCAATGTTCAGGGACATTAAAGCATTTTAAAAGACTCCACAAGATCTTCTCAGATAAATGCTCTTTTTTCATACTTTCCAGAGGCATTAGGTGTTAAGACCATATCTGCCATCAGTGTACAAAAATGTTGATGTTTCTTCAATAAATAATACGTTTCAGTGGCCTGGTGGTTAGTTTGTGCTCTCCATGTACAAAGGCAATAGTCAAGAGTAGGCAGCCTAGGTTAGAATACCTCCTGTAGCTCCTGTCCCTTATCCCATGTTAACAATGTGTTTGTAAATTGAAGCTTAATTTGCAGTTAGAGAATTTTTCAGCAGACTTCAGAAGACATGTTGTGACGGTCTGCCTGCCTGCCTGGGGTGGCCCAATGGAGGGAGGGTGATTAAATCAAACCCCAGTGAGACGGTGTGGCACCATAACTGCCTTGATATCTGAACTCTTTCTGTCCGTACAGACTTCTTCTTACATTTTGACGTAGGGGTCGGAAAATCCGTTGACGTCCATGGCGGCTAAGTGGGCGCAGCGCTTCACTCCTACACAGAGCCCTCCACTGCGACGCCCTTCACCTTCTCCTCCTCCTCCTCCTCTTCCCTCCACGTCTTCATCCTCCTTCTGAGGAGGCAGAAACTGCAGGGAGAGAAGAAGACGACCTCTTTCTTCCAGGCTGTGTAGCTGCTCGTTCTCCCACTGCAGACGACATACAATCAGATCACATGAGTTTAGTCAGATTTGCGAGATCAGACAGATTAGTTTGAGCATAGAATTAGTTTTGGAGGATGAATTCAGTTGGTTTGATGAGTTTGTCACATCAGCTAGATGGGATTAGTTGAATCAAGTTGATTTAGATGGATTGCTTAAATAAGTGTTTCATTTTAGATGGACTGTTTAAAGTGGTTAAATTCAGTGTATGTTTGGTTGGATCTTTCTTGATCAGAATAATATACTCTGATTATTTTAGCATGATAAGTTGGAACAGTTGAGGTTAAACAGTTCAGTAGGTTAGTAAAGAAGTTCAGTTCAGGTGAAGGGAAGTTTATTCAGACCATGATGGATTAGTGAAACCTCAACACACAGGCAAATACACACACACACACACACACACACTCGTACACACTCACAAATACACAAATAAATTACAGAGAACGGAGAAAAGGTGGAAGAGTTGAGATAGATTTCACACACTTGATTTTTATTTAACTTGATTTTTTAGTTTGTTGTGATTAGTTGAGATTAGTTATTTCAGGTGGGAGAGTTTAATTAGATTGGTGTATAAACGGATTAGTTTTGGAGGATTCGTAAAGTATCATGAGGCTTATCAGATCAGTGTGATGGAAGAGTTAAAGGTAATTAGTTTAGTTGATGAATGTGATGCGATCCATTTCGTCTGATTAGTTTGTCAAGTTACCCAGAGGATTAAGTGTCTTGACTTCAGGCATCACTATGTCATGAACTCTCTTGTTTTATAATGCTGTTTAAAAGTTATTCACTAATCTGGTTAAACTAAAACCAAATGATGACCTCCAAAGAGTCAAAGCACAAATAATAAAATGTCTTACTTTTTATATCAGAGGATTTGTGTCCATTTGGCGTCTATATTTCTGATGTTTGGGTATTTCTAGTCCTGTTTTGAACTCAGTGTTTGCCTCTGGCATCTCAGTTGTTTTTTCGCTCGCGGCAACACAAAGTGAAAATATTACAAAATTTCACATCTAGTCATCAGTGTCACTCCCACAGGAGAAGACTTCGCGGACATCAAACCACGTTCTGCTTTTTTCCACACAGGATTCACACTGCCAGCAGGTTCGACTCTCTGCTTTTGAATCTCCCCCTCTCCGGATATTTTAGTATTTTTTCTCTCGCCTCGTGGGTGTAGCTAGGCTATTTTATTTGAGAAGGTCATCTGTTGTCTGTTACAAAACCGGATTTCTTCCCTCTATAAAAATAACCACAGATCATGACTACCTCTAAAAGAGGGTCTTCATTGGAAAAAACAGACTCTCTGTCTTTCAAACAATTTGTAACAATAAAGATGACAGTCGATTGTTGATAAAGAAACCAGATGAAGAAGAAGAGGAAAGATGAAACCTTCAATGTTATTGATGACAACATGGAAAAAAAATGGAAGCAAAAAAGGCAAGGATGAGAAAAAGAGATCAAATGGGGACTACCATTTGATTTATGCAACATGTAGAGTTTAAAAGTGTGAAGATGAAAGGCATGACGTATAGTGTCAGCCGTGACTGGATAATGTAGGTGTCGTGCGTATGGCTGTCTGAATAATAAAGCAGCTGATGGGAGACGAGTCTTTTGAGTGCAGCTTTAATTGCTTTCGTACTAAAGAGAGAAAGAGATCCTGATCGGCTCTGAGATGTAGCAGAGTAGAAGATGAAAGACTGAATTAAAGTACTTCTTATTGACACATACCTTAAACAATGCTACAGTCCACCACTAGTCAATAAGACTCACAGCACCACAATTGATGGTGTTCATTAAAATCCCCCCGACCCCTCCCCCCAACAGGTCTTTGATTTGATCTCTGGTTTTCAACCAGCTGAGGGTGAGAAGATCAATACATTTATCCTTCTTCTTTGTCTCCCCCTCTCTCCCCTCCTGTGGTTAGCTGTCCTGTCTATTAGCCTCTCTGCTCGCACTAACCCACCCTTCATTACAGACAGGCCATCAGAGCTCCCTCCAACTCTCCCTTTTATCAACTCATCTCGCTTCACAGTTTGAGTGATCATTAATACTTCCAAAAAGACCAAAAGATTGGGTTTGATCCAAACAAAAAGTGAAAATGCTATTCAAGCCTGTTGTATTCAGTGCTGGCTGCAAATTCAGTTGGCTGAAACCCACCATCCTTCATAATAAAGCTGCAGCTAAGAAAATAGGGGGGAAAAAAATCAGGAAAAAAAAGATTGATTGGATCTAGCAGGAGTCCACAAGGCCTGGAAGGATTTATCTAATGCCCACCTCCAATCTGTGGGGGCGGCACTCTGTAGATGAACCCTGCACTGGATGAGATTTCAGCTCAGCAACATTTCCAAAGTCAACCTCTCTGGCTGAAAATAAGCCATCAGTGCAGCCCCCGATCTGCTCAAATACACACTTTAATAAACATGTCAGGCTGCGGGATCATGGCCCAGGTGAGCAACTGACAGACAGCTTCCCCATCAAAGTGATAGCTCCATAATGGTGTTTGAGGAGAGAGTAAAGGCCCGAGTCCCAAAGTTCATCCAGAGCTCTTAATGCTTTAACTGACAGCTGAAGTCACCGGAAGGTTACAATCAAAATCTATTCAATATTTTGATGTTGTGCAGAAGACTGAGAGAAGACGGCAAACTGCTTCATTTAAAGCCTTCAATGCTTAACTTAAAAAAAGATCTCTGATGGATGTTTGAAGTAAAGTTTGTTATTTATTTGTTCATTATTTTCAGAAATGCACTCATGAATAAGGCTTATTTTCTTCCCTTTCTTTTAACTTGATGTCTTTTCTGTATTTCTATACATTGTCATTGGTATTGTACAACATCAAGAGCACTTCAACCTGAGACTAAGTGTGAGGTTAAAACCCAGTAGTTATCAAAAACACCAAATGACCTCATTCATGAACAGAATGTCCATATTAAGAGCAACAAGTCCAAAGTCAAGACAAATCCCATGCCATTCCAATGCCCAAACTTTCCCCCTCTTCTATGCTGACCTCAGAGATCACTAAGAAGGCACAGCAGCGACTGCCCTTCCTAAGACTGCTCAGAAGGAACAACCTGAGTGAGAAGCTGCTGGTGACCCTCTACCGCTCCTCCACTGAGAGCCTGCTGGTCTACCAACAGTGTGGCACGCCAGCTACACTGAAGCAGGCGGGAGGGGGCTTCAGAGAGTTATAGGCGATCATCGGCTGTACTCACCCCTCCCTGAAGGACATTTACAACTCCGCTGCCTCACACACCGACTGTCATCTGTTCGACCTCTTGCCCTCTGGCAGGCCCTACATGTCCATCAGAACACAGACAGACAGGTTTAAGGCAAGTTTCTTCCCCAGAGCCACCCCACTGAACTCAAACATGCACTGACCCTCCAGCCCTCATCACACACACACCCTCCTCTACTCTTCCCCTAGTACTCCTTGTACAATAATCAATAGTGCAAAAATAATTCCTCACTGTGAAATACATACATGATGTTTTACATGAACATTTATACACTTTTTTCCTCGCTTCTTTTTACAGGGTGGCCTGTTTACTGCAGTACTGTATGTAACTTTGGCAGCGGCTTCTAACCCTCTGCTTGTAAACAAATGCATGGTCTCTAAGAGGTGTAGGCGTAACAGCACTATGTGTGTCTTAGGACAGTGCAGTTATACTCAAAAACCTTGGGTGGACGCTAAAGGGCACCAAAACAAACACCTACACAATGTTGCTTTTAGGTCTACATCAACTACTTAAAGAAAAATCTTCAGACAAGACCAACACGTCCCAGGACTAAAATCAACAGTGACAATCCCTTAGATAAGACTTACAAGGCCGAAGTTAGAACCTAAATCTAGCACACCGTCTAACTTGCAAAGAAACATTTATTGGCAATGTTTAAGAACTAGACCTTCACTAGGCAGTTTGATGAAACAGGCAGGACATTCTTAAGTGACTACAAGCCAGCAACCAATCAGCATCATGATGTGAGATCTGAGTCGGTAAGTTAATGAATAAACAACAAACATCAGCTTCCCCATTAAGAGTACACACCAAAAAGTTGCATTAAGCTTAAGAGGTTTTTCTAAATAAATTGTCAATTCATGTCTGGCCTGTATGTTTTTAATGGACACATTATCCTCCTACCTGTCATCTGAAATATCTGTGCAAAGTGTTTATTTTATTTGAAATCCTAAATAAAGTCCAAAAAGTTCCAATGTATTGTATAATATTATACCTTATATATGACATTCCATGAGAGGACGACGGTACATGACAGGTGATGGTGCAGCTATATAATCCAAGATTTACTGGCTTGAGATGCTGCTGTTTGATTTTTAAGTGTTTACTGGGCGGACAGCTATTCTCAGATCAGCCTCAAGACTGACAGGGAGCCATTAGATAAAGCCCCTGTTTGTCACAACAGCATGGTCAATTGGCTGACAACACTGGAGGGGTTTCACCAACACCTTCCCTGCCTTTCTCTTTGTAAAGACACCTGTATGACAAAGGTAGATGGCTAATGAGCTCAGTATGGGTAAAAAAACAAAACAAAGCCTGACAAACCACCAAGAAACTTAGCAGTGACTGCGTCACAGCACACACCACAGGAATGTAAACAAATCTTTTAAAGGGGCTAATTGGACCCTGAAGTCTTATTTTCTCAGAATAAACTGGTCAAAACGTCACCATAAATAGACGCTAGGGAAAGCACACAGCAAGTGATGGAGGCTGCTTTAAAGATCCTAGTGGGGGAATGTCGCCATAGAAACACTTTTTTAAGGAAACAGAAAACGTATAAACACACCAAACCTTTACAAGACAGCAGGCTCAAAAAAAAATAAATAAAGGGAGGTGCTGTCGGGTTTGCGTCAGAGAACAACACAGAGAACATGGCAGCTACTTTACTGACTTTGTGGCTTATTTTGAGTCGTTTTAGTCAGATGCAGCCAGAACACTTCTCCACAATAAAGGCTGTCACTGTGTGTACCCGCATGCTTGTGCTCGTGCATGACCTGTACCGTGATGAAGCACACCAGCTATATAGCTTAACAATGCTAGGAAAACAACCAGCAGCTAGACAACGATGTCATGCACGTGAGGTCTGATAGCCTACAGGACAAAACATTCACTGATTCATTATGCACACTCGCCACCAACTGGAGTGGGAGGTCTACTGCAGGTGCTTTACATTAGGTTAATGACATTGCTGTGTGAGAATTAGAAAAGCGTGGTAGACACCCGGTGATTCTAATCCGTCAAAATGACAGACAGCCTTCAGATTTTTCCATCATTGTTTAAAAAAATGTAGTTGTACATTTGTCAATGGACCTGACAGGCTAACAACACAACATCTTATCCATTGTTTAGGCCTGAAGAGGTGAACATGAAGGTGTCGGGTCGAGGTAATACTGTGCAGTTCAGTCCCCCAGAAGTCTTGAAGAGAAATGAAGTGTCATACAGAAAAAAGGGAATCAGTTTCAACTCACAACAGCTTAATTGGCTGGAAATGAACCCACTTAGAGAGCACATAATAAGGGCTCATTCAGATAGTAATAGGTTTCACTCCACACTAGTGCTGTTGTCTGCCCACATGTAGTGAAGGAAGACTGAACTGATGAACTCCTTGTGAGGATAACAGGGTCTAAAAGATAGAGACAGAATTGTATTTGTTTCTTTACATAAAGTCTGGTTTGTTCCAATTCTACTGAACGTTTATCCCACATTTCTCTGTGGATCGAAATCAATGACTCTAAAATTGTTTCAGTATTTAGGAAATGCTTGTACCGTCATTATTAGAGAAAGACATAACAAAGAGAAGTTTATGTGGATATAAATCAGATGTCTGTGTGCATTATGTTGCCTTCAAGATAAAATCATTTTGCTGTTGCTACCACAAAATATATTAATTATATTTATGGCTCTGGTCAGGTCGTGACTGAAGACTGCATGTTATCCATGACAGTTCACAACCTGAGTACATATCACAGTAAGACAATTTCTGCCAGACATTAATTTATCAGGATATATCCTGAAGCTTTTCACGAGGTAACAAAAGTTTGTATGTTATAATCAAGCAGCAACCTCTGGTGTTAAAAAAGTGAAGCTAAAGCGGAAATGCAAAATCCTGCAGTTCCTTCGAGTGCCCACTTGAGGCTGGCTGCAGAAGCAACAGAAGTCATATATCGGAGACACCAAGACAAAAAAAGTGATTTTTATAGCAGAAATTAACATGTTTACAGCCTGGTTCAAAAGATTAAATTGGTCTAATTAGCTCATGTCTCAATCAGCACACACTGTACGGGTTGACTTTTTAAATAACGTTTAGATTTGATGAATGATAAGCATTATTCAAAATAAGGCGCGTCGCTGACCTGATTGACAGGTGGGCGCGATGTAGCGGTTTGTCAAGAGGCTTAAAACCTGCCTCATCTCCAGCTCTCAGCCTGTTGTAAGATTGAATAGAAGTTAGGTTCAGACAGCATTTACAGCATGGTGATAGCTGTCGGTGGCACTCCAAAGCCCCCTGCAGTAACAGATGGGTGACGCCACTCAGGCTTCCTCCATTAAGATTGACAATCTATGATTGTAATAGCCAAAAAATGTAATGGAAAAAACCCAAGAGAATTTATTTTTATTTAAATGTTTTAATTGCATGGGCTTTCAGGCTTTTATTGAGGGGTTATGACAGTGGATAGAGTAAATCCAGGGAGAGAGAGAGAGTGAGGAATGACATGTTGCAAAGCGCCAAGAGTCAAAGTGGAACCTGGGCCGCTTAAGGTCCATAGCCTCTGTGCAAGGGGCATGCTAACTAACCATTATAGCATAACACTGACTTAATTCTTTTTTACTGGGGTGGCAGCAATATGCTTCTGTAGTAACTCACTGTGAAGGATCCTTAAGCTGAGCTGCAGATTCAGCTGACTAATTAAGTACTGGAGAAACACAACACACTGCAAATTAGGGATTTCTCATGTAACAAAACAACTTATTTCTTTTAAACTTTTGTTCAATGAGTTTGGACTTTTTTTCCCCCCCTTTTCAAATTTAAATCTCATCTCAGTTAAACAGACACCATAATCAGCAGTCATAAAATATTCTTATCGCTGAAGATACGTGTCTTTATCTTATATGTGAAAATATATTAACCTTATTTTTCAGAAGCTCTACGATCTCCACAAGTCTGTGAGTTTTTAATGAGCTGTTGCTACATGACTGGATTTTTATTTCTTATATACTGACAGTGTGCACAGCAGGAGAGCAGAGTTTCCACTCAGAATCTTCACTTATCTCCAAACTACTCAGGACAGACCTAAGTCCTAAACCATTTTCTCTTCTCTTCAAACCATCTTTGTAGGTTTAAACTCCTCAGGGCAAGTCATCATCAGTCACTTTATCTTCACTCATCACACTCTCTGACTCTCCTCCTCCTCCAGCTGCCACCTCCTGCTCTGATGTGTGTTCTCTCTTATTCATTCGGACAACTTTCTGGTACAGATTTGTGCTCTCAGACCCTGCTCTCACTTTTCCTACAGTGACTTTCTTCTATCTGAGAGAGCTCCAGCTGGCAGATTTATTCTCAGTGTTCTAGTCTCACACTTTAAGGGGGAATTAAAAACAAACAATAACTCACCAGAAGAATCTCAAACCTGTCACGTTTTTAAACCAAGCAAAATTGAATTAACAAAGCCAACGTAATCTCATGGATTAGTCTGATCAATAAAGTCTTATTTCAAATCTGCATCTGGTCTTCTTTTCATCTAAAAACGTATGAATCCACATGTGGTGCTCTTGTGAGACTATGTAGCAGTGGAACAGTTTCTTAAAGGCTGATCCAAAATACAATACAGTGTGTGTGTGTTTGGAGTAATGAGAGAAGATGTCACCCAGCTTTTCAAGGTTTCTCAATTACAGAGATGAAGATATATGAGGCTGCGATATACACACCCATTTAGGAGATACCTCTTGCTATTTCGTACCAACCACATCTGGATTACAGAAACAGCATTAAGTCTGTTGAGTGACATTGCGGGGCCTGTCCCTTGATTTCCACGGTCCCTCACTGAATTATTTCACCGTCATGGAGAGTGAACGGGGATAATCACATTACCATCCTCTGCGCCCGAGAAAAATCTAATTAATGACCCTCCCCGGTTACACTTCAGCTGCAGGGAGCGAGGTATACAGAGGCTCAGCATGGCCACCTCACAGCCGGAAATACTGGTTTAAACTTGATCCAGGTCATGGTGTGACGGGGGTCGATAACAGGGGTCCAGTAGGTTGATGTCACACTGTGTGAGATGTGGTTAATGACACTGCTTTTAATTAAGTGTATACTTGTTACTGAGCACTGAGCAGTGATGGTATTCAGATCTCTGTAACTAGAAAACGTCCTCCATACTAACACCTACAAACTAGCACAAAACATCATCATTTATTATGTAATCAGACAAGACATTTCATCTAAAAATAATAAATGAAGTGCACAGTTACAGGAAGCTGCCATATTTCATGCCATTAGTCATACTTGAGCCTCTCTTGGTACAGAAACCCACAGTGATTAAAGCTTTGTTCAATGTGATTGGATTCAATTTCAATCCTCAAAGAGAACAATGGATCGCAATGGATGTGTTAAAATAAAGTGTAATGAAATAACCAATAGTATAAATGACCCATAATAACCTGTTCTGAAACTAAACTTATCATAGCTCATTGTGTCTTAGCCTCCTCCGTAAGATTGTTTCAGTGTTAAGTTTATCTTGTAAAACTTCAATTTCAGGAAGTTATAACAAGGCTCTCTGAGTGCATGTAATCTTTGGAAACAGAGGTCAGCATGAAATGTTCCGCAGCTATAATAAAGATACGTAAGATTTAACCCATCACTAGGTGTCAGAGATACATATTGTCCTTTTACATCAATGTTTGTTTGCTTTGATGATGAGAGGGAAACCTGTAGATTATGGTAACAGGTGTCACCACATCAGAATAATCAATATAAAAGTTATAGAAAACTCAGCGACCAGAACTTGGACGGATGATCGCTTACCTCTCTTAAGTAGCAGGAGATCCCTCGCAGGGCTTCACCCATGGCAGTCGGAGAGGGGAGCTACGTAAGGAAGAGATACAGTGGCAGTCGTGAAGACTTCTTGTATTTGTCCACTGATCCTAGGTGAACTATCCATAAACTTGTACTGTGTGTGTTAGAGTTTGGTAGACACAGATTAAAATACACTAAGACAATTGTTTGTCTTAAACCATTCTCCCTGACAGGAGGACCAATTGCAAAGCTTCTACATACAATTTTCCAGTGTGAGCAGAATAAGCATTATTAAACCTGTGATTTGTTTTCCTTTATACAACAAAATGCTGATTAACACAATTTACTGCACACGTTGTTGTGTTTTGCTGTAGTAAGTTGGAAAATGTGTAATGTGGACAATATTACTGACTCTGCTTGCCCACTGCAAATGACCAATTGACTTGGGGTCGTGTCTGCCCTGCTCTGCACTGAGGAATGTTCAATGAGAGAAAGCTGGACAAAATGACAGCTAAGGCTCGAGCAGCGAGAAAATCAGAATCAAATATACAATTTACAAGGCTGTGTTGTTAACTGTCAAAATTGTCAGTATCCGAGCTCATCAAGTTACACACACAGCTGTTTAGTTTAGTATGCACCGGTGCTGCAGCTTGAATGGCTGTCTTGACGTGATGTCTTCATTCTGAATCATGCATGCCCTATCACCACACTGTGAGCATGGTTCACATCGCAAGCAGTATCCCAGCATACATCATGAATTTATATTTTATTTTTTACCCTGTCAGTTCAGTTTCAGTGGACACACATCTTCAGTCTGTGTGTCTGTGTGTTTGTGTGTGTGTGTGTGTGTGTGTGTGTGTGTGTGTGTGTAATACCGGGGGAGGATGTTCCAGGCAGGTGTGAAAATGTTTAGACTGGTCAGGTTTGACTCTTTTCAAGGGCACTCTTGACTCTCCAATCAACTCATTGTGAGTCAACTTGTCTCCATCACACACAGTCAACCTACAGAGAGAGGAAACGAGGAGGAGGAGAGAGGACACAAGGGAGGAAATGAGAGAGGGAAAAAAGTGAGAATGGAGATGAACAACAGACCAAAAAGCGGGGAGGACAAAATATAGACATTCTAATACAAGAGAGAGAGAACTTAAGGAAATTTTGATTTTTCATAAATACAGCTGATTCTTTGAGACATTGATTCTCATTATGTATACGCAGGTCCACATGTATGTTTCGTGGCTGTGGTCAACCTGAATGACACATTAAATCAACAAGAAAAGAACAGGTAAGGGTGAACGCACATTCAAAACACAAAAGAGGCATTTCTAAAAAATCCGATTGAAGAGGATACAGCTTGGATTGGTTTGAGGAGGAAGTGTAGAGTCAATATCAGCGCTGCAGTTCACCAGAGACAGACTTAATAAAACATTAAAAACACAGCTGTGGATTAAAGCAAACACAAACAGCATATTAGATGTGGAGGTAAAAAATGTGGAAACACTAAAAGGGAAAGTTCCACAGACAGAGAGAACAGAAAACCGTCTGGCAAACAGAGGGCTGAGTATGTGCTGTATATAATTTGAAAACATTACATGACTGAAATGATATTCATAAAGCTGAGAACGAAGATGCCAGGCAGACTGACTGACCGACCTCTGGAATTGATTCAAATGTATTTTTATTATTTATGAAATGAATCAAAATGAGATTTGCAGCCAAATCAGGCAAATTTGTCCAAAGGTCGGCAGCCTGCTGAGCTGCACTCCAACATTTCTCCATCTCGACAGAATAATATATCAAACCAACGCTTTGAGCAGAACAGGAGTATAAACTCTTCAGTATGTAGCAAACGTGTTTGTTTTGACTTGTGTTCTTATTTGGTAAAATAACCAATAAGAAAACTATTTCCTGCATTGATGGCAGCCCCTACGCAAGTGTTCCCAAGATCGCATGATATGTTTGACGAACAAAAGGTAGAAGAAGAAGCATTCAAATTGTTAACTCAAGTTAAAGTACTCAGACCACACTGTGACAATACTCAAATCAAAGTCCTTCATTAAGAGCTTACTTTTCAACAAAAATAGATTATTCACAGGAGTATGTGGGGGGAAAAAAAAAGAGTATGTATATGTTTGATTTAAGTAGAAATAAAAAAGCATCAAAAGACATCAACAATATAGGAATGTGTACTAAAAAAGCACTAATAAAGAAAATATTGAATGTTATTAAAATATCTAAAGAATATACCTTGAAGACTTCTGAAATAAATTATTCCTGAATCCTGAAAGTTTAATCAACAAAGCTTTGAACGTTGCAGTAAAATGGCCTCCTTCATTGCTTAATTGCAGTATGTGTTGTTTTTGAAATAACATTAGCACGGTGTTCATGTTTAGGAAGCATTTTATGGCTGTTGATGTTATAGGTTGTGATTATTTTCATCACTTTATAATTTGACGGCTGTTTTAATCCACAGCACAAGAAGGGGAAACATTTCCTCATCACCTAATGGAGCAGTTTCCCTGCAAATCAAAGAGCAACGTTTGGGGCGATTTAATAAAGCTGATGGAAGCTCGAGTCTGACATTGTCCAAATTCAAGACCTTGAGAAGCTGTGAATGTAACAGGATAGAGATAATATAAAAAAAATTACTGTTTATTGACTTGTGACTGCAAAAACTCATGTGTGCAAAATGGTCGTGTAACATTCTATGGTTGCCATGGTTCCCCTTAAAGTGCATCATTCATATCAGATCATCATTTCAACTCAAACAAACTCTCAGACAGCCACAGAAAGTTGTTCTCAAGTTTAAATCAGCGATTTCCTCTGAAAATCACGCTCAAACTGCAGATTTTTTCCACCCTAAGAAGGACCAAAGATTTTCTTAAACTGACACGAGCCAAACATCCAACTTGTGTCATGGAAAATGTAAGATTTTCACTTTTTGACTCTCTGCTGTTTACTGTAAAGTTTAAACTGTCTGAACTAGACTGCACCAGATTTCTTTTCATCCATTTATTGGAATATATTTAAAATAAATCTTTGAATACTTCAATAATATTTGAAATCTTTTCACATATTCAATAAATGGTTCATTAAAGAAAATAAAATCCCATCAGACACAGCCATGAATGAAATGTAGCCATGAATAAAATGTGTGTTATAGATATTTGTTACAGTTTATAATTCCCAAACAGATAAGTGTCATTAGATAAGTGTCAGAAATACTATTGAGTGGACATTTCACTTCATTAGTTTCTTCTGGGGGATTTACTGTTCAGAAATAAAATGATTATATAACAAACATCAGGTGAAAACAGGAGCTCAGTACTGACATGTTTCAGACTCATCAGTCTCACTCTCTGCAGACTCACTCGTCTTTACAGTTTTTTTCTCATTTTAAACTGTAATATAATTGTTTCATACATTGGAGGGTTTTAGTAATTATGGGACTGTCCGTTTGTGTGTGCAGGTTACTTTTTAAAATCTTTGTCATGTTTATGGATCAATTTGTGTGTCCATTGTAAAAGCACAAATATGTACAAAATGGCCGAAATACTCACTGGTTGCTGTGGTTACCCTCAAAGTGCATCATTTATATAAGATCATTTAAACATAAAAAACCTTAAAGAGTCACAAGAAAAATTTCACAAGTTTCACAGTAAAAAACATTTATAAATTAAATAATTAATTGAGGTAATTTTCATCCTGACAAGAACTAAAGACTCAGAGATTTAAGAGAGCAACTTTACAAATGTTCATCATGAAAAATGTGAGATTTAAATGTTTTAATGATCTGATATGATGTATATAGTCAGAGCTTTACTTTAAGGCCTGTGTCCACAGACAGCACTTTTTGATCCACAACCTAGATAGCTTTGTGTGCTTAGTATTTGCTTTAATTCAACGAAATATCACCCAAAAATAAAGAACACAAGTATGCATTAGCAGCAGCTCTACAGCTGGAAATTGTACCCGTTGTTTTACTGTATTTCTGAAGTGTTGTTCTGTGTCTGTGTTGTTACAGCGTGTTGTGCCCGTTCACCTGAAGGACCATGACTACTGTAAGACAGTGAGAGTTCTCATCACGCCTGGCTGAGAGAAAGCCTCGAGCTTTCACTCGATGTTCGTGCTGCAGGAACGACCTGTAAGACATTTGATTTTCATATTTTGAGAAATAATTTCCAACTTTCTCAAGTGTTAAAGTCAACTGCTATAAATTAAGAACATTTAAAATTGCTCAGTGATCTCCTGTTAGCAGTGTTGCATAAATGTGCTCAATATGGACATTTCAATGAGTGTTATCTTGTCTTTAAACTTGTCGACTAGTCTGAATATATATTAGCATTAGATTGGCTGCAACCCTAGCACAGGCAAAAATGAAGTCACTTCAAATTATTCTTCTCTGAACGTCTGACAGAAATCCTAACACTTAAATCTACCTGAAACCAAATAGTTTCTGCATGCAGTTTAAATTTCCTCCTGAGATTGTAAAAGTATGCCTCTGTGAACTCAACTGGAGCCTGACATGTTTTTGTTTGTTGGTGTTCTTTCAGGACTCAAACCACCACCACGCACTCCTGCTGCTGAACCGTCCAGGAAGAGGAAGCGGACCTCCGTGGCCCTCCTTCCTCTTCTCCTGCTCCTCAGCACCCTGCCAACGATGCTGACTCTCCTGCTCTGGTCCTCAGGCCCTGGGCCACAATTCCACCAGACCAGCTACCAACGGTCTCTCTGTGCTCCCCGGTCCCCAGCCCTCCATCGCTCCTCTGCTCGAAGACGGCCCACCTATGATCCACCAGCTTTCAGTGCCACAGTACCAGTCGCTCTATCACTCTGTGGTAGACACATGCTGCGGTACAAGAACGGCCGTCTTCGACCTTACAGCAAAACTCTAGGACTTCTTATGAAGCAGAAGCTGTGGAGCGACTGGATCGCCCGATGTTCACAGAAACTGTATACGAGACAGGACTCGTTCATGTGAACGTCTCATACGGGTTGGAGTCAATCCTCCCCTGTATGATGGACGTATCGGGAACCGGAACCTGGAGCACCACTGAGAAAAAGAGTAAAAACTGATCCGATAGTCTTTACCTTAGTTGATCATTAGGATCTGTAAATATTAGAAATAATTTAATTTAAGAATAGAATTTAGTTTACTGGTAAGTACAAGTTTAGATTTAATGTATAGTTAGTTAGAACATGTTAGTGAAAGAACTCAAATGACACCAAGTGCCTGGATAAAAAAACTTTTGCAAACAACCTCAAGTACCTGAACCGTCCTCCACCTTCAGCCTCTTTAAAAGTCCTGCCTCAACCAGCCGTCTCACATTGAACCTGCTCCATCCTTAAAAAACATCGTGACCTCCAACATGTGCCAGCAGCTTTTACCATCAATATGCTGCAAAAGAAAAAGTATCTTTGACCTCCAGCTCAAGCCTCTGAACCCGACCATCAGCCTCTGCCTCCACCTCTCCAAATTCAAGACAAGAGCCTCAAGCTCTCAAGCCTCTGTCATCTACCTGCAGCTGCCTCCACCTGCAGTTTATGACTCCTGCCTCGACCAAAACAACCACCAGTCTAAACATTCAGACTGCCTCCATCCTAAAGAAGAACATCTGTAACCTCCAACATGTGCCAGCAGCTTTACCACCAAGATGCTGCACATGGAAAGAACATCCTTCTACCTCAAACTTTAAAGCCTCTGTTGTCTGTTTCAGATGACAGCTGCCACCAAAGACTCAAACGAAACACTGCCAAACACCAAAAGCCGGCACCTTTAAACTGCAGCCTCTATGAGACATAACAGCACCCTGCCACTGTAAGACAGTGAGAGTCTCATCACGCCTGGCCGAGAGAAAGCCTCGAGCTTTCACTCGATTTCGTGCTGCAGGAACGACCTGGTAAGACATTTGATTTTCATGTTTTTGTGTGTTAAAGTCAACTACTAGATAATATTAATGTTAAAAATTGCTCAGTAATCTCCTGTTTAGCAGTGTTGCATAAACGTGCTCAATATTGACATTTCATGAGTGTTATCTTGTCTTTAAACTTGTCGACTAGTCTGAATATAAATTAGCATTTGATCAACTGCATCCCTAAACAGGCCAATTCATATTTATCAAAATATGCAGAAATTAAGTCACTTGAACGTCTGACAAAATCCTAACACTTAAATCTACCTGAAACCAAATAGTTTCTGCATGCAGTTTAAATTTCCTCCTGAGATTGTAAAAGTATGCCTCTTGAACTCAACTGGAGCCTGACATGTTTTTGTTTGTTGGTGTTCTTTCAGACTCAAACCACCACCACGCAGCTCCTGCTGCTAAACCGTCCAGGAAAGGAAGCGGACCTCCGTGGCCCTCCTTCCACTTCTCCTGCTCCTCAGCACCCTGCCAACGATGCTGACTCTCCTGCTCTGGTCCTCAGGCCCCGGGCCACAATTCCACCTGACCAGCTACCAACGGTCTCCTCTGTGCTCCCCGGTCCCCAGCCCTCCATCGCTCCTCTGCTCGAAGACGGCCCACCTATGATCCACCAGCTTTCAGTGCCACAGTACCAGTCGCTCTATCACTCTGTGGTAGACGACATGCTGCGGTACAAGAACGGCCGTCTTCGACCTTACAGCAAAACTCTTGGACTTCTTATGAAGCAGAAGCTGTGGAGCGACTGGATCGCCCGATGTTCACAGAAACTGTATACGAGACAGGACTCGTTCATGTGAACGTCTCATACGGGGTTGGAGTCAATCCCCTGTATGATGTGGACGTATCTGGGGAACCGGCCTGGAGCACCACTGAGAAAAAGAGTAAAGAACTGATACGATAGTCTTACCTTAGTTGATCAGTTAGGATCTGTAAATATTAAATAATTTAGATTTAAGAATAGAATTTTAGATTTACGGTAAGTACAAGTTTAGATTAAATGTAATAGTTAGTTAGAACATGTTAGTGAAAAACTCAAACGACACCAAGTGCCTGGATAAAAAACTTTTTGCAAACAACCAAGTACCTGAACCGTCCTCCACCTTCAGCCTCTTTAAAAGTCCTGCCTCAACCAGCCGTCTCAACATCAACCTGCCTCCATCCTTAAAAAAACATCTGTACCTCCAACATGCCAGCAGCTTTTACCATCTATATGCTGCAAAAGAAAAAGTATCTTTGACCCTCCAGCTCAAGCCTCTGAACCCGACCATCAGCCTCTGCCTCCACCTGCTCCAAATTCAAGACAAGAGCCTCAAGCTCTCAAGCCTCTGTCATCTACCTGCAGCTGTCCACCTGCAGTTTATGACTCCTGCCTCGACCAAACAACCACCAGTCTAAACATTCAGACTGCCTCCATCCTAAAGAAGAACATCTGTAACCTCCAACATTCCAGCAGCTTTACCACCAAGATGCTGCACATGGAAAGAACATCCTTCTACCTCAAACTTTAAAGCCTCTGTTGTCTGTTTCAGATGACAGCTGCCTTCTACCTCAAACTTTAAAGCCTCTGTTGTCTGTTTTCAGATGACAGCTGCCACCAAAGACTCAAACTGAAACACTGCCAAACACCAAAAGCCGGCACCTTTAACTGCAGCCTATACCAGACATGACAAGCTGCTTCCTCCACTTGCAGCCTCTACCAGACACAAGCTGCTTCCTCCACCTGCAGCCTCTACCAGACATAACAGGCTGCTTTCTCCACCTGCAGCCTCTACCAGACATAAGAAGCTGCTTCCTCCACCTGCAGCCTCTACCAGACATAACAAGCTGCTTTCTCCACTTGCAGCCTCTACCAGGTAACAGGCTGCTTTCTACCTCCAACTTAAAGCCTCTGTTGTCTGTTTCAGATGACAGCTGCCACCAAAGACTCAAACTGAAACACTGCCAAACACCAAAAGCCAGCACCTTTAACTGCAGCCTCTACCAGACATAACAAGCTGCTTCTTCCACCTGCAGCCTCTACCAGACACAAGCTGCTTCCTCCACCTGCAGCCTCTACTAGACACAAGCTGCTTCCTCCACCTGCAGCCTCTACCAGACACAAGCTGCTTCCTCCAGCTGCAGTCTCTACCAGACATAAGAAGCTGCTTCTTCCACCTGCAGTCTCTACCAGACATAACAAGCTGCTTTCTCCACCTGCAGCCTCTACCAGACATAACAAGAATGCTTTTCTCCACCTGCAGCCTCTACCAGACATATGAAGCTGTTTACTCACCTGCAGCCTCTACAGACATAAGAAGCTGCTTCCTCCACTTGCAGCCTCTACCAGACATAAACAGGCTGCTTCATCTAACTGCAGCCTCTACCTGCAGCCTCTACCAGACATAACACACTGCATTCTCCACCTGCAGCCTCTACCAGACATAACAGGCTGCTTTATCCACCTTCAGCCTCGACCAGAAATAACAAGCTCCTTTCTCCACCTGCAGCCTCTACCAGACATAACAAGCTGCTTCCTCCACTTGCAGCAGAGACCAGACATAAGAAGCTGCTTCCTTTACTTGCAGCCTCTACCAGACATAACACGCTGCTTTCTCCACCTGTAGCCTCTACATGCAGCCTCTACCAGAAATAACATGCTGCTTCATCCACATGCAGCCTCTACCAG